CACACTCGGTAAGCAATCCTACAATTTTTTGTTTATAACGTAGTTTATACGGATTATTTTCAAAAAAATATACGTATTTTGGAAATGTTGAGTCGAATTAGTCTAGAATCGATTAATTTTATGAAAGAAAACCTTTCAAACAGCCGTAGTCCGTAAACTATGATTCCTACAAAATTGATTCATAAAGAACGGAACGTATCTACTGTCTTATAGGGGGATCTACTGTATATAAAACTCATTTAGCATTACAAAATTTAAAAAACCACTACAGTAGTGGCCAAAAATAGAGCTACCCTTGACATATTTTTAAAAAATGAATACTCAATTGAAAATTGAATCTAACAGATTTTATTTTAAATCTAATTTTACAAAAGAAAAACAAACATTTTATATTTTACACTGTGACAAAAGTTGAACTACCAAAAGGAAGTATGCAGATTTATCCAGAATTTTTAGGACAAAATATTAGTATTTTATGGCATAACCAGAGCTTCTGATCACTGCATCACATCCACATTCCTTTGAATCAACTAAATTGATTCAAGCACTGATTGGGGAATCTCGTACCATGCTTTTTGGATGGCAGACCACAATTCATTTGGATTCAAATATGCTGGTGTATATGGCCCTCAACTTCATTCCAAAGATTCTCTATGGGGTTTAGATCTAGCGATTGGGCTGGCCATGTCAATAAGACTCACCTTTTTCTTTTCCTTTCAATTGCTTTATCAAATTTGCTGTGTTTTGGGTTGTTGTCCTGTTGCATCCCCTTGCATTGAATGATGTGCATGAGGAAGCATTTCATTTTGTAATATATGCCAATAAACAGTGATCCATTATTCCATTAATTCTATGAATTGGACCAATTTCCTTTGCAGAGAAACATCCCCATACGATTATGCAGCCATCACCATACTTTATTGTGGGAACTGTGTATTTTGAGTCATATCTCATGTTTACTGGTCATCTGACATATTGTATATCATCACTAGAGAAGACATTGAATTTAGATTCATCACTCCATAACACCTTGGACTATTTTTGTTTGGTCCAAGTGATCTGTTCATGTGCAAACTCTAATCTCAATTTTTTGTTTTTTGCAGATCAGTGGTTTCTTTGCTGGTCGTCTCCCATGTAATCCAAAACTAGTCAAACGTCTTCGTACAGTCCTTAAGCTTACATCTGGTTACCCATTTCATGTTTAATAAGTGAAGCAGTCAAACAAGGATTGGCTACACTCATACGCCTGATCAAACGATCCAACTGTGTTGTTGCTTTTCGTGGTTTACCTGATTTTTTGGCAGAAACAATATTTATTTGAAAATGCTTTGCCACTTTCACATCAACAGTTTTATGCATAATAAAGGTTATACCAATTTCAGTAAAGGTCTTTTTTCCTTCAAACACATATCTACCATTCTTTGTTTGATATCATTTGATAATTGTATTCCTCGAGACAACACTGCATCACATCAATGGAATAGATGTGATGCAGTGATCAGAAGATCTGGTTACACCACAAATTATTTTCTCTTAAAAATACTGGACAGATCTGCATACTTCCTTTGGTAGCTCTACTTTTGTCACTTCTATGCATTTGGAGCTAGAACTATTTTAAGATGACCAACATCGGGTGGTAGAAATTCAAACGGTGTCAATGTTTACATAGGTAACGTCTTACTAGTGACGTCATCGTTGATAAGGTTTAGACAATATGGAGGGCATTAAATTTTTTCGGTAAAAATGAAAAGGCGTTCTAACACCGACATTCTAACAGAACGCAATGTGCCTGAAGAAGGCCTATTAAGAAGGCCAAAAACATTCGTACTCGTGTATAAAAGGCTAGAAACAAGTGAGAAAGGTTTTGTCTTGGTCATCTACTTTTGTCACAGTGAAAAATATAAAAACTTTGTATTTTCTTTTGTATAAAAGGTTTAAAATAAAATCTGTTTGATTCAATTGAGTATTTTGACTTTTTTTGTGCTCTTTTCAACTATCATAATATTAATTATGTAGTAGGTGGTAAACAAAATAGAGGTCACATTTTAAAAAAATAAATATGTCTACTTTTGGCTGCTACTGTATGTTTATAAAAATTCATTCAATAATTAAAGCATTTTTTTCTGTTAAAAATCATTAATTATAAATTAGTTGAGAAATACAAATTCCAATTGATATCTTGATTATGTGAATTAGCTACTAAAACAATGTTAAAATAGTAGCTGAAATATTTAACTGCTAAAAATTTGTTATAACTATAAATTAAGTTTTCTTGTGCTATTTCATAGTTCAGTATTCTTTTGTAAAACATTAAAATAGTCAAAATCATAAATGTAAAATAAAATTGAGGACCCAACCGAGGTCCGAAATCATGTAAATCGCGGTATTCTTATGATTAAATAATAATGATAGATTAAATATGAGAGGGAGAGGAAAAGCCACATAATTTAAACGCGGCACTCAATGTAAACAACGAGTCCCGGATGACTCCGTGTGTTAAACAAACTGTCAATGTCAAAATGAAAAGTTATAAGTCAGAGACAAGTGGTCATATGCAGGTAGAACTTTGACCCCAGCGCTCAAACAATCAATCTAGGGAAACAATTTCGGAAATAAGGGAAAGATTTAAGAGAGATAAATCATTGCATATGATCATTCAAGTACCCAGATGACAGAAGTCGTGAGTAATGGAGCTAAATTATGCAATTTTGTCAACATTCCTAAAGAACAATCGATAGAAAGGCGTCGAGCAGACACCTGGAATTGGACCTTTCCTGTGACCCAAGTCAGTCTCAGTTTTCTCCAAAACAAAAGAGAGACCAATCGGAAAGCGAGGAAGGAGACAAGGGGCCAATCAGAAGTCTGAATAGTGGGAGAAAAAACTATAAAAATCCAAAATTCACGGTCAGAGAAAGCCCTCCTCCAAATTCCACGAAATGTCGTGACTTATATTGTGGTGTGTCGTCGCCAAGAACTTTGGACTCCGCCACTTCCTCCTTCTGATCGTCTGCCTTGCTCAGCGACCTCATCTCATCCTCCCTGGAGCCAGACAGATGCCGAAGTTCTCGCCTCTCCGCATCTTCGATGAGAAGAACCTAGTGAAGGACTCAATTGGCGATGTAAGCATAAATGTTAACAAATAAACAGCTTTCTTGTGTAAAACATTTGTCATCATTTGCCTCCTCCATCACAGCCCACATACAACCTTCCCTTATGTTAATCCTGACATGGGATTAATAGATCCCACCTAGGAGACGGCAACCTTACACAGGTGCCGTGGAGTGGGTTTCAAGTTCCCTATCGCCACCGGGTCGGTTACCTTGCATAGATATGTCTAAATTAAGATCTTATGAAAAATATTAAATGAATTAATTATGTTTTGATAACTGAAAAAAGAAACAAAACCAACAATTTACAATTTTAATAATTAATCATTAAACTTTAATTTTTTGGAAAATTCCATATTTTATCACTTTATAATTAAATATGCAATATAATACTGAATTCAAAAATTCAGTAAAATCTCTCTCATTTAAATGGCTATTTTATTTTTAAAAATTACTTACTGGAGATTTTCCTAGCATTGCAGCTCCTGCTAAAGCTCCTGCTCCAGCTGCTAATCCAATTGGGATTGGGCTGCTACTCTTAGGCTTTCCATATGGATATCCAGGATAACCTCCATGCTGAAATAAAATGCTTTCAATTTATTGTCTTAGATCATTAAGGGCAAGAACACATGGATGGATATTTTTCACAGAGAATATGACAATACATGGGAGTAAATGAGAGTGAATAAATGTCTTTCATAAAGAGAAAATTTAGGTCAAAAAGTAAAACTTTTATGCACTACTACAATCTGCATTGAAATATTTCAGTGAAGAATGTAATAGTCATAATACTGTGAAGTGAATGAAAGTGAATACAAGCCATAAAATATTTGATCTGGTTTCTTGATTATCCTCCATTTACAAATGGAACACAAACTGGTCCAATCCTCTGACCAGGACCATCAAGAATTTGTACAGGGTCAGGGGTAGAACAGGCCCCTTAGTGCCTTTTTTGAACAGATAATTAAATTTTAAACATTCTACATATTTTATGGCTATTTACAAAAATTATAAAATTTTTGAGTATCTTTCATCCTTTTAACATACCACAGAAGTAATAGTATATTGGCTTGAATCAACTTCATTAGAGCACATGATAAATTATGAAGAAATCAAAGTTAAAACTGATCGAAACACCAACCTTTTATTTGAGGATTCGACATCCTTTAACATTAAAACAATGGTTACAATTTCTGACCGTAACTACCATGTTCTTTATTAACAAAATGCACTTAAAGATTTTACTTTTTGTTAGTAAAAATAAAATTAATTTAGAGATAGTAACCACTTCAGACCCCATGTTTTCTCCAGGCCCAGGAAAGTTCCAGCTTCTCCTCTTAATGACACTGCCTCTAACTTCTGCACAATATATAACTGTTTGAACTGATGCAGAATTCAGTGCCTAAATTTTTACATACAAAAACATCCATCTGTGTTTTCCAGCCCTAAGGAAACTTAAAACATCTAAAACTGAACAGTAAAACAAATTTATTATGTAATTTTCAGAATAACACTCAAATAAATATTAGAGGGATCAGGAAGTATTGTCATTTTTCACAATAAAATTTAAGTGTGATTTTTAGTCACTTAAGCAATCTCTATCAATAATACTTTTTCATTCAAACTAAGTTTTCTACACATTTATAGAAATTTTGGGAATTACTATTAAGAAATACATGCACGCCTATTTTTACATCTAAAGTTTTAAATTTTTTCCTTCTAAATAATGTTGCATTGATGTAAATGAATAGTAATCAGAAGATGAAGATTTTATCTGGAGAGTATGATAAATGTAAAATTGTTTTCCAGCCAAATTCAAACTTATTTGCTCCAGATTGATTTTCAGTGTGTAAATCCTTTTTGAAAAATAATGCTCTTTCTGTTGGCTATTGCAGAATGTTTTTGACAGTTACAATGCAGTAATACCTTGACTTATGCTACCCTGACTTACGCAAACCCAGAGTTACGCAATTTTCAAATCTCGTCGATTCGTCTTTTGTCTGAGTGCCATGCAACTCTCGATTACTCACCCCCCCCACACTATTGTTCAGCTTACATGTTTGGGCGTGTCACATGGAATCGACGCATAGCTACAATTTATTTTGTGTTATTTATTTCTGTGTTGGTTATATCTACAGAGACTTGAGAGACTTTACTATGTCATCCAAACAAAGTAGAACTGATTCTTCTGCATCAAACAAGAAAAGAAAAACTATCTTTAGAATGTACAGTTAACATTATTAAAGGCTTCGATACAAAAATGAAAATTTGTGAATTAGCAAAGAAGTTTGATCTACCAGAATTGACGGTCAAAACAATTATAAAAGGTAAAGAAAAAATTCTCAAAGCTGTGAAAAATGCTCAATTTAAATTCAAGCATCATTCGTAAATGTCACGGTATTATCCCTGAGATGAAAACAATGTTAAAATTATGGTGTGATAATCAAGTAAATGTGAAAAATTGTATANGGTCAGAACAATTATAAAAGGCAAAGAAAAAATTCTCGAAGCTGTGAAAAATGCTCAATCTTTAAATTCAAGCATCATTCGTAAACGTCACAGTATTATCGCTGAGATGGAAACAATGTTAAAATAATGGTGTGATAATCAAGTAAATGTGAAAAATTGTATAATAATATAATTTGTTATACATATGTATTATCTAAGATTTTATTAAACATTTTTTTCTAAATTATTATTTTCTTTAGTCTCCAGCCCCAATTAAAAATTATTTGTATTTATTTATATGCAAAATTATACCCCGACTTACGTGCTTATCGCTTGGTCCCACCTCTCACACAAGTTCAGGGTATTATTGTATTTAAAAAGGTTCAGATTATCACAATACAGGCTTGCATTAATCAATCATTCTCCAGAATTACAGTTTAAAATGCATCATGTTCTACTATATACAGAAATGCACATTTTTTGCATATTTGTTTTGAGTGCTCTGGCAGTTTCTTCTGATAATCATATGACATGAAATTTGTGGTTAGCCATAGTATTTTTCATCACCAGTAATTTTTTTTTAAATCCTTTTGTATTTATCATCTTATTACATAAGAATAAATAATAGAAGAATAAATGTGCCTTATTACATAAGGCTAGGGTTTCTCAAACGGGATTCCGATTGTTTTTTTAACCAGGGAAATATCCCGGGAAATTTTTCTTATCCCGGGAAATCCCGCAAATTTCTTAAAAATTCACTTTTTTCTTATTTTGTGTTAAGGTTGAGGAATTTTGCAAATAGAAAGCATAATTAACTCATTCACTGTCAGAATACATTTGTATTTATTAATTTTAAACCTACCTATTAGTTTTTTTAAATTTTTGCTCGTTATAGCATGTCACAAATGGTCAATAATCAATATATAGCTTATTTGTGGCAGGACTATAAAAATTCTTTACTTGTCGGAACCTGTAATATCTGGAATAATTGTGCTTACGCTGTCTTGAGTTTTA